GTTTTTGTTTGTTCTCTTCATGGTATTATTGTCATTCTTGTTAACCACTCTTGAGAGTCTGGAGAAATATGGCACCACCACACCCAGCTACTTTATTTTGTCATTTTGCATGTATACTAAGATCGCACATATGAGTGAATCTTAAAGAACCATAGTCAGGAGGAAAAAATATTTGGTTTTGTCAAAACATATATTTTGAGAACAGAATTTCTTTGTGATATGTAATTTTTAATTTTTACTATGATTTGAAATGTAACAACTTCCGACAATATATAAAGAAATAAACTGCGATATATTAAATAAAAAAAATGGCAAAAAAAAAAATACCCCGGCTCCTGGTATTAGAGGAGGTCGGCCTATTGTACATTTGAATTATCGGATAATTATCTACAGCTGAGTGGTGGTTTAATTTTTTAAACATAGAATTCTTCGATAATTATCTAAGAACTATCAATGTCTTAGATTGATAGGAAAACGTATAACATGTGTAGGTAAACAAAGAATGTTGGCCGAAAACACACAATATGGGAATGTGAAGATATAGTGTGAGACCTTTATATTTTTTGGCAATCTCAAAAACTTATGCAAACACTATGGAATGCTAAACGGAGTGTTTATTTATCTCTTGCAAAATAAATAAATAAACGAACGAACGAACGAACGAACGAATGAATGAATGAATGAATGAATGAATGAATGAATGAATGAATGAATGAATGAATGAATGAATAATTTTAATTAATATGTAGATAAATTTGAAAATGTGCTACCGGGCATAAACAGCAACCTTGCAATTCCGCAACTGATGAATAACGTACAACTTATCGATCTAATATCGACCTAAAAATTCGATAGTTAGGCTATCGGAGGATTTAATGTTGGAAACACCCCCAACACACACGGATATTGTCAAATAATTGTCGAAGTATAAGACTAATTTGTTTATGTGCCCCCGGACTGTGACATTTATCGAGGAGTCGCCGCTGAGGAAATACATGTCACATCGATATTTCGGCATCTCGTATTGCAAATAAAGTAGTACTTGTCTCACATTCTTACACAACTTTCTTCATGAAGCAGAACAAATCCATCTCTCTGTACTCCCAATTCGTTTATCGCATTCCTTTGGATAAATCGACAGAAAAATCTTTTGTGTGGTGTTGGAGTTATCAATACCGCAGATGATTTAATTGAAATTGGGTGGAGTGAACAACAAGTAAAGAAAGCCGGGGTTTATTTTGAACATAGGATCGCTGTGGCCCAGCCATTTTAGGATTAAAACATGATCACAGTTATGCAACATCAGAATCGGAGATCATTAATATCGTAGGACTGAATGTTTGTGGTATGCACTCGAAAATTGACAATGAAATTTTCGTTGATTACATTAGACATTTTGACATTGTTTGTCTCTCTGAGACTAAAACTGATCAAATTGACCCTTTTACGATACCTGGTTTTCAAGTATTGTGTAAGGAAAAGCAAACTAAAAACTATCCATTTGGTGGCATTCATGGCATTTCTATTTTTTATAAAGATAGGTACAGAGGCTATATTCATGTGGTCCACAATCTGTCATCTGACCAATCTTAGGTTATGATTTTATTATTAGTTCTGTATATATCCCACACGAAGGATCTAAATACTATGATAATAAATTATTTGACAATATTTTACAATGATCTGATTAATATCAAGTGTTGATACGATTTGCCGACTTTATTGGTTGGTGATCATAGTGCTAGAACTGGTTTGTTGGACGATTTTGATCACTATTGTGTTACTGCCATTGAAGAGAATGGTTATATTTGTAATACAAAATTTGACATTGAGTCACTAGGCTTATGTATTGATAGATACAGCTGTGATAAATCAACAAATAACAATGGGTATAAACTTGTTGAATTATGTAAAAGTTTGGATATCCATATTGTGAATGGACGTACCCTGTGCTGACTCGAGTTTGGTAGATTATATACTTGCCTCACCCCAGTTGTTTATAAATGCTACTAATTTCTATGTTGATGTCTTTGATAAATTATTATCAAACTATGTATCCAATGCAACCCCAATTGTCGATATATCAG